GTGTTTTCCCGATTGCCAGGATTCTCAGCTCCAGGAGTCGTGGTGGAAATGGCAGTGGCACCACTCACTATTACCCTTAGAGACCTAATAGCAAATTTTTGCCTCCTGTTCCCAGGACTTTATATGGAAGTTGCACTGAATTTTTTGTTGGAATGGTTTAAGGCATAAGAGGTTTGGTGACAGTTCTACAACTAGCCTAACTTGAGGTCCCCTTGACCTGGGTCCTGCTGAATGGGCAGAATGTCATCATCACCAACCCAAGCATGAATTTATTGAGAAAATGAGTGACTCAAGAAATGTTTGCCGAACATCTTTCAGCCCAGTGTCTTTTGGATTGCCCTGCTGAGAAATTCTTCTTAAAAATGTTCAGTACTTTTAAGATATGTCAGACTGTTTGTTTTCATAAATTACTCCATGTTCCCATTTCAAAAGATAGACTCTTCTCTGTCAAATTTTAGATTAGCAAGAAACAAGAAAGATCCTAAAAACCTACAGAAGGACAACCATTTAAATAATAAAAATCAGTCTATGATGTGACTTTCTCAAGAGTGATTCTGATTACCAACAGGCTGGAGAAAATGCCCTCTCCTTAGCCTATTATTCATCAAGTGTGTAAAATAAAGATCTTTTCAGATATTCAAGATCTCAAAAAATGTATGTTTATACATCCTTTCACAGGAAGGTGCTAAAGAATGTGCTTTAGCAAAAGAAAAGATCAGAGCATGAGATCCTGTAAATGGCAGCTAAGAGAGAATAATGAAGGGAAACACTAGGAAACAAGTACTGGATTATCTCTGCATTTATCACATGGAAAATATTATAAAATGCTATTTTAACTACCTACTGAAAAAACAACCAAAATTTTTGAATGAAACAATTATTAACCCCAGGAAAAGTTATGTGTATGTATATATAGAGAGAAAAGAAAACATACTCATAGTAGAACTGGCTCAGCAGTAAGCAATATTTAAACAGTAAATCTAAACAATATAAACACTCTATTCATTTAACTAAAAAGTTAACTAATTTGAGAGTTGGGGAGAAGATGTATAAGTAGGCATGGAAGAGATACATTTTCATCTGCCATATAAGAAGGCAATAGGGCTGACTCTGGGTACACTGCCTAGGAGTTAGCCCTGTTCCACAAGGAGAAGTAATAAAAGAGAAAAGGTGATAGAGAATGTATAAAAATCATATTTTAAGAAAGACAGTATAAGAATCTTTACTTGAGAATATGGAGACACATTGCAGAAGAAACAGCTGTAGGAGTCAAGATTGTTTTCCTATTGACCACATAATTGGAAGTAAATCTCTCCTCAGCAAATGCAAAAGAATGGAAATCATAACAAACAGTCTCTCAGACAGCAGTGCAATCAAATTAGACTCAGGATTAAGAAACTGACCCAGAACCGCACAACTTCATGGAAACTGAACAACTGGCTCACGAATGTCGACTGGATAAGCAATGAAATGAAAGCAGAAATAAAGATGTTCTTCGAAACCAACGACAATGAAGACACAGTGTACCAGAATCTCTGGGACACATTTAAAGCAGTGTCTAGAGGAAAATTTATAGCAATAAATGCCCACATGAGAAGCAAGGAAAGATCTAAAATCGACACCCTATCATCAAAATGGAAAGAGCTAGAGGAGCAAGATCAAAAAAGCTAAAAAGCTAGCAGAAGACAAGAAATAACTAAGATTAGACCAGAACTGAAGGAGATAGAGACACAAAAAAAAAAAAAACTTAAAAAAATCAATAAATCCAGGAGCTGGTTTTTTTGAAAAGATCAACAAAATAGACCACTAGCCAGATTAATAAAAAAGAAAAGAGAGAAGAATCAACTAGATGCAATAAAAAACGATAAAGGAGATATCACCCTCAGGGATTACTACAAACAAGTGTGTGCACATAAACCAGTAAACCTGGAAGAAATGGATAAATTCCTGGACACTTGCACCATCCCCGGCCTAAACCAGGAAGAAGTCAAAACCCTGAATAGACCAATAACAAGAGCTGAAGTTGAGGCAGCAATTAATAGCCTACCAACCAAAAAAAGCCCAGGTCCAGATGGGTTCCCAGCGGAATTCTACCAGACATACAAAGAGGAGCTGGTACCACTCCTTCTGAAACTATTCCAAACAAACAATCCAAAAAGAGGGAATCCTTCCCAAATCATTTTGTGAGACCAACATCATCCTGATACCAAAATCCAGCAGAGACTTAACAAGAAAAGAAAACTTCAGGCCAATATCCGTGATGAACATAGATGCAAAAATCTTCAATAAAATCCTGGCAAAACGCTTGCAACAGCACATCAAAAAGATTATCCATCACAATCAAGCAGGCTCCATCCCAGGGATGCAAGGCTGGTTCAACATACGCAAGTCTATAAACGTAATTCACCACATAAACCGAACCAAAGACAAAAACCACATGATTATCTCAATAGATGCAGAGAAGGTGTTTGACAAAACTCACTAGCCCTTTATGCTAAAAACTCTCAATAAATTAGGTCTCAACAGAACATATCTCAAAATAATAAAAGCTATTTCACTAGCCCTTTATGCTAAAAACTCTCAATAAACTAGGTCTCAACGGAACATATCTCAAAATAATAAAAGCTATTTATGACAAACCCACAGCCAATATCATACTGAAAACTGGAAGCATTCCCTTTGAAATCTGGCACTAGACAAGGATGCCCTCTCTCACCACTCCTATTCAATATAGTATTGGAAGTTCTAGCCAGAGCAATCAGGCAAGAAAAAGGAATAAAGGGTATCAATTAGGAAAGGAGGAAGTCAAATTGTGTCTATTTGGAGACGACGACATGATTGTATATTTAGAAGACTCCACCGTCTCAGCCCAAAATCGCCTGAAACTTATAAGCAATTCAGCAAAATCTCGGGATACAAAATCAATGTGCAGAGAACACAGCATTCCTATACACCAATAACAGACTTAAAGAGAGCCAAATCAAGAAAAAACTGCCATTCACAATTGCTATGAAGAATATAAAATACCTAGGACTACAACTAACAAAGGATGTAAAGACCTCTTCAAGGAGAACTACAAACCACTGCTCAAGGAAATAAGAGAGGACAAAAACAGATGGAAAAACATTCCATGCTCATGGTTAGGAAGAATCAATATTGTGAAAATGGCCATACTGCCCAAAGTAATTTATAGATTCAATGCTATCCCCATCAAGCTACCTATGACCCTTTTCACAGAACTGGAAAAAACCACCTTAAACTTCATATGGAACCAAAGGAAAGCCTGCATAGCCAAGTCAATTCTAAGCAAAAAGAACAAAGTTGGAGGCCATCACGCTACCTGACTTCAAACTATACTACAAGCCCACAGTAATCAAAACAGCATGGTACTGGTACCAAAACAGAGATATAGACCAATGGAACAGAACAGAGGCCTCGGAGGCAATGCCACACATCCACAACCATCTGATCTTTGGCAAACCTGACAAAAACAAGCAATGGGGAAAGGATTCCCTGTTTAATAAATGGTGTTGGGAAAACTGGCTAGCCATGTGCAGAAAGCAGAAACTGGACCCCTTCCTGACACCTTACACTAACATTAACTCCAGATGGATTAAAGACTTAAACATAATACCTAACACCATAAAAACCCTAAAAGAAAACCTAGGCATACCATTCAGGACATAGGCATAGGTGAGGACTTCATGACGAAAACACCTAAAGCATTGGCAACAAAAGCCAAAATAGACAAATGGGACCTAATTAAACTCCAGAGCTTTTGTACAGCAAAAGAAGCAATCATTAGAGTGAACCAGCAATCAACAGAATGGGAAAAAATTTTTGCAATCTACCCATCTGAAAAAGGGAAAATAAACAAAAAAAAAAAAAAAAAAAAAAATTTAAAAAAAAAAAAAAAAAAAAAAAAAACAAACTCATTCAAAAGTAGGTGAAGAATATGAACAGACACTTTTCAAAAGAAGACATATATGAGGCCAACAAACATAAGAAAAAATGCTCATCATCACTGGTCATTAGAGAATTGCAAATCAAAACCACACTGAGATACCATCTCATGCCAGTTAGAATGGCGATCATTAAAAAATCTGGAGACAACAGATGCTGGAGAGGATGTGGAGAAATAGGAACTCTTTTCCACTGTTGGTGGGAGTGTAAATTAGTTCAACCATTGTGGAAGACAGTGTAGTGATTTCTCAAGGACCTAGAAATAGAAATTCCATTTGACCCAGCAATCCCATTACTGGGTATATATCCAAAGGATTATAAATCATTCTATTATAAAGACACATGCACATGTGTGTTCATTGCAGCACTGTTTACAATAGCAAAGACCTGGAACCAACCCAAATGCCCCCATCAATGATAGACTGTACAAGGAAAATGTGGCACATATACACCATGGAATACTATGCAGCCATAAAAAACGATGAGTTTGTGTCCTTTGTACGGACATGGATGAATCTGGAAACAATCATTCTTAGCAAACTGACACAAGAACAGAAAATCGAACACCGCATGTTCTCACTCATAGGCAGGTGTTGAACAATGAGAACACATGGATACAGGGAGGGGAGCATCACACACTGGGGTCTGTTGGCAGGGACTAGGGGAGGGACAGTGGGAGGTAGGGAGTTGAGGAGGGATAACATTGGGAGAAATGCCAGATATAAATGATGGGAGGATGGAGGCAGCAAACCACATTGCCATGTATGTACCTATGCAACAATCTTGCATGTTCTGCACATGTACTCCAGAACCTAAAGTGCAATAAAATATAAATAAAAAAAGATTGTTTTCCTTTGGGACCAGAGTGAAGAATAACAAAAACATTGTGGCAGTGGTTGCATTTTAATATTAGTTGTCTTATCCAGATTTATATTGATAAAAGTCAAAAATGTTTTAAGGACGATAAATATCAGCACTGTATAAAATGGATGAGAAGATGGAGAGATCATTTTATTTTATTTTCTTTATCTTCTTAGGACCTGGAATATTGAGATACCAATGACAATGGAAGATGCGCTAAAGGAGATTAGAGGAAACCAAGTGATTTTTCAAGATTGCTTTGTTGCAGATTTTCTTATTCTGTTGACTTTTCCTATGTTAACTATACCAGAAATTCCTGGTTATTTACCAATCTCTTCACCCCCTGGTAGTCAACTAATTGCTTTCCGTGATACTTGTATTTTTGCATGTGTTGTTTTGGTAACTGACAGGGAGACATTTCAAACAAATGATTCATTCCGTACTTGGACCAGAGTCAGAGTGCCTCCAGACATTCTGAGTGATGATGAAAGACATAATGTAACTGATGTGATTTTATCACGAGATGGAGTAATTTTTTATATAAATGGTGTTCTTTACCTAAAAAGTTTTCGTGGATTTATAAAAATGGGAAGAACTATAAATCTTCCTGATGATGGAATTGCTGGCATTTCATCAAGAAAATGGTGTTGGGTCAAATATTTATTCAAGGTAAGTAAGTGACATTTTATATTTTATAAATATATTTATATTTTACAAATATATTTATCATACCATTTATTCAGTGATAAACAGAAACTTGCTGTGCAGCTTTTTGCCTAGTTGTTTTATCTAAGGCTGTAAACAGCTCTAACTCAGCTTCTCAGATACCTCTTTACAGTAGAGATACACCTCCAAAACTAAAAATAAATTAAAACTTGTATGTTATTATGCAGTTCACTCATAATATGGGAGCTTTGTTTTACCTTGATATGGGCAAAAGACACAAAATTCTTTTTCCCCAAACAAAGGTTATATGAGCTCTCCAGAATGAATAATGAGTTTTTGTTACATGTATAGAAAGTGTAACGATCAAGTCAGGGTATTTGGGATATTCATCTTCTTCAGTATTTACCATGTCTATGTGTTGGTATCATTTCCTCTTTCCTAGTTACTTTGAAATGTTAAAAATATTGTTGCTAAGCATAGGTTAGGTACCCTGGTCTCACTACAGACAAACTAGAAACACTAGAACTTATTTATTCTGTAGAATGGTATGTTAGTTAGATATATAACAATATAACTTATTCTTCTATTTAACTGTGTATCTGTACCCATTAAGCAACCTCTCTTCATACTCCCTCCCACGCACCCACCCTTCCCAGACTCTAATATCTATCATTCTATTCTGTTTCCTTGAGATCATGGATTTTACCTTCCACATATGAGTAAGAACATGTAGTATTTGTCTTTCTGTGCCTGGCTTATTTCACTTATTGACCTCCAGTTCCATCTATATTGCTGGAAACGACATAATTTTGTTACTTTTATGGCCAAATAGTATTCCATTGGGTATATATACCGCATTTTCTTTATCCATTCATCCAGTGATATACATTTATGTTGATTCCATGTCTTCATTATTGTGAATAGTGTTGCAATAAACATGTAAGTACAGGTGTCCCTTTGATAATACTGATTTCTTTTCCTTTTGATAAATACCCAGTAGTGGGAATGCTGGATTGTATGGCAGTTCTATGTTTAGTTTTTTTTGAGAAACCTCCATACTCTTTTTCATAGCGGTTGTGCTAAATTACATTCCCACCAACAGGGTATATGAGCTTCCTTTTCTCTGCCTCCTTGCCAGCATCTGTTGTTTTTTGTCATTTTAATAATTGCCAGGCTGGGCAGGATGGCTCACACCTATAGTTCCAGCACTGTGGGAGGCCAAGGTGGGATGATTGCTTGAGCCTAGGCATTAGAGACCAGCCTTGGCAACATGGAAAGACCCCCATCTTTAAAAAATAAAATAAAATCTAGAAGAAAAAAAAAACAATAGCCATTTAACAGGGTAAAATGATATCTCATTGTGGTTTTGGTTTGCATTTCCCTGATTATTAGTGATGTTAACCATTTTTTTACATACCTGTTTGCCATTTGTTTATCTTTTGAGAAATATCTATTCATGACCTTTGCCCACTTTTAAATGGGATTTTTTTTTTTTTTTTTTTTTTTACTATTAAGTTGTAAAATTGAAGAAGAGGTAATTATCCCTAACTCATTCTACAAGACCAGCCTTTTCCTGATACCAATACCAGAGAAGAACACAACACAAAAAAAGAAAACTACAGGCCAATATTCCTGATGCATATAAAACACAAAAATCCTCAAAAAAATTCTAGCAAACTGAATCAAACAGCACATCACAAATAGAACACACTGTGGGATTTATACCAGCAATGTAAGGATAATTTGACTTATACAAATCAATAAGTGTGTTACCTAACATCAACAGAATGAAGGACAAACACCATATGATCATCTCAACAGATAGAGAAAAAGCTTATGATAAATTCAACACCCCTTCATGATAAAAATTTAGCAAACTGGCCTGGCACAGTGGCTCACACCTATAATCCCAGCACTTTGGGAGGCCAAGGTGGGTGGATCAAAAGGTCAGGAGTTCAAGACCAACCTGGCCAATATGGTGAAACCCCATCTCTACTAAAAATACAAAAATTAGCTGAGCATGGTGGTGTACGCCTGTAGTCCCAGCTACTCAAGAGGCTGAGGCAGGAGAATCACTTGAACCTGAGAGGTGGAGGTTGCAGTGAGCCAAGATCGCACCACTGACTCCAGCCTGGGTGACAAAGCAAGACTCTGTCTCAAAATAATAATAAAATAATAATAATAATAATTACTTTAAATGTAAGTGGATTAAATTCTCCAATCAACAGATAGAGCAACTGAATAAATTTTTAAAAAACAACTCCAACTATATCCTACCTGCAAGAGACTCTTTACCTCTAGGGACATAATATAGACTGCAATTAAGGAAAGAGAAAAATATATTCCATGCAGATTGAAACTACAAGAGAGTAAAATTAGGTATACTTACATCAGATAAAAGAGACTTTAAGTAAAAAACTGTAACATACAAAGAAGATTACTACATGATGATAATGGGGTTAATTTATCAAGAAGACATAATTATAAATATATGTGCACCCAACATCAGAGCATCAAAATATATTAAGTGAATATGAACAGATCTGAGGGCAGAAGTAGGCAACAATGCAATAATAGTGGAGAATTAAGGACCCCACTTTCAACAATGGAAAGATCATTCAGAGGGAAAAATCAATTACAAAATATTGGACTTCAAATACACTTTAGATCAAATGGACTTAACAGACATATACAGAACATTCCATCCAATATGCAACAGAATACACATTCTTGTCCAGTACCCACAGAACATTATTCAGGATAGGTCATATGTTAGGCCAAAAAACAAGTTTTAACAAACTCAAGAATACTGAAATTACATTAAGTATCTTCGGTGACCACAATGGTATGAAACCATTCCTGATGCATATAACACACAAAAATCCTCAAAAAAATTCTAGCAAACTGAATCAAACAGCACATCACAAATAGAACACGCCATGGGATTTATACCAGCAGTGTAAGGATAATTTGACATATACAAATCAATAAGTGTGTTACCTACCATCAACAGAATGAAGGACAAACACCATATGATCATCTCAACAGAGAAAAAGCTTATGATAAATTCAACACCCCTTCATGATAAAAATTTAGCAAACAAAAGGAAAGGTGGAAAGCTCAAATATGTGGAAATTAAAGAACATACTCCTGAACAATCAATGGATTAAAGAAGAAATAAAAAGAAAAAATTTTAAATTATCTTGAGACAAAAATGGAAGTACAACATACTAAAACTTATAGGATACAGAAAAGCAGTTCTAAAATAGAAGTTTATGGCAATAAATGCTTATTGCAATCAAGATCTGAAATAATCTATATATCTCAAGGAACTAAAAAGAGAATAAAACAAAGCTTAACGTTTATAGGAAGAAGGAAATAAGAAATATCAGAGCAGAATTAAATGAAAGTAGAAACTAGAAAACATAAAAGATCAACAAAACTAAGAGATGGATTTTTCTGAAAATATAAACAACTTTGACAAATCTTTAGCTATACTAAGAAAAAAAAAGAAGACTCAAAATCTGAAATGAAAGAGAAGACATTATAACTGATACCACAGGAATATTAAAAAATCAGAACAGGCTACTCTAAAACTTACATGCCAACATATTGGACAACATAGAAGAAATGGATAAATTTCCAGCCACAACCTACCAAGACTGAATAATGAAGAAATAGAAAATATGAATAAAGCTGTAAGTAGTAAGGAGGTTAAATCGGTAACCAAAAATCTCTCAGCAAATAAATGCCCAGAACCAGATGGCTTTACTGGTAAATTCTACCAAACATTTAACAAAACAAGGCCAATCCTTCTCAAACCCTTCCATAAAATCAAAGAAGAGGAAATTCTTTTGAATTCATTTTAAGAGGATAGCATTATCCTGATACCAAAGCCAGACAAAGACACTAAGAGAAAAGAAAATTAAAGGCCAATACATGATGAAAATAGATGCAAAAATCTTCCACAAAATACCCACAAACTGAACTCAAATGAAGATTTATTCCTTTTTATCACCATGATCAAGTGAGATTTATCCCGAAAATGTAAGAATGTTTCAATGCATGCAAATCCATAAATGTGATATACTACCTTAGCACACAGCTAAATTTTTTTTTTTTTTTTAAGAGACAGGGTTTCATCATGTTGGCCAGGCTGGTCGTGAACTCCTGACCTCAGGTGATCCACTTGCCTCGGCCTCCCAAAGTGCTGGGATTACAGGTGTGAGCCACTGCACCTGGCTCACATGTCTAAATTTAACATCATTTTATGATTTTTTAAAAAAAAAATCAGATGCAGTGGCTCATGCCTACAATCTTGGCATTTTAAGGAGACCAAGGCAGGAGGATCACTTGAGGCCAGAGTTTGAGATCAGCCTGAGCAACATAGCAAGATTCTGTCTCTAATAAAATAAAAGTAGAAAACCAGCCAGGCCTGGTGGCATACGCCTATAGTCCCAGGTACTTGGCAAGCTGAGAGAGGAGGATCACTTGAGCCCAGGAGTTGAAGGCTGCAGTGATGCATGATAATGAGACTGCACTCCAGACTGGGTGACAGAATGAGACCTTATCTCTAAGAAAAATAATAAAAAAAAAAAACTTAACAAATTAGGTATAGAGGGAATATACCTCAGTATAGCAAATACCATATATGACAGTCCCACAGCTAACATCATATTCAATGGTGAAAAGGTGAAAGCTTTTCCCCTAAAAGCAGTAATGTGACAAGGATGCCTACTCTTGTCATTTCTTGTCATCATAGTACTGGATGTTCTAGCCAAGTAGTCAGACAAGAAATAGAAATAAAAGATATCCAAATAAGAAAGGGAAAAAGTAAACTTTTCTCTGTAGTTGGCATGATCTTATATGTAGAAAACTCTAGACTCCACCAAACTGTTAGAACTAACAAATAAACTTAGAAAAGTTGCAGGTTACAAAATCAACATACAAAAATCAGTTGCATTTCTATACACTAAAAACAAGCTATCCAAAAGAAAAATTAA